TGGAATCCCATCATCATCGTCCATCCGACGGACGTGACCTAATCAACGAAACTGATTGGGCATCAGCATAGTTTCTATCTCATCCACATCCGCTCGCCGAAGTACCTCAGTGTTCGGAACCATGTCCGATCACCGAACATCCAAGGTGCGTCTAAGACATCGCAAATGAAAGCGACTCAGATGGCACACGTTCCAGCGGTATATTACGACTTAGCGCATCATACGGTCTCAAGCCTTCCTGTTTGAAGTGAAGTCGCGGAATTTTCAACTTATGCTCATCGGAAAACTTGATCATAAGGTTGAAAACCTGCGCCATCTGTACATAGCCTGAAAATATAGTTTTTCAAGAATTCCAGGTCTTCCAGATTGACAAGGTTGTTGTACAGTAACATCAGCCCAGAACTGATCAGGAGTTTGTGGTAGATCTGGTACTATTCCCATTCATATCTAGCGACGCCAAATGTTACATTTTTAGTTCAAAACACAGTCAGTAGCAAGTATGCTTATTCGTGCCGCAAGCACGCAGTGCAAAAATGTACACGAATGCCATGAGACAAAGAGAGCCAAGGACAGTCACCTCATAGCAGCATTGTAATCAAGTGAGTAGTGGAGCGCGGATACTCAATAATGACATGGTTGACGGTATTTGGTTCGGACCAGTCTGTCACAGTGACCGCAGCCCAAGGAAGCCTGCGGATAACGCTCATCGCAGGTAGTTTACGCTTGTAATCCCACTGGCACGTCACATATCCAGTGTAAACGCGAAGGGATAAGATCAGGAGGCGTGTGAATGAGGTACTTGCGTCTAACGAAACCGAAGCACCCGTCTCTTGCGAAGTAGACAGAGAGAGATTTTGATGGCAAGATCTAAATCGGGAGGAAAAATATCGAAAATATAACGCAAGTAGTTCGGTAAGGAAATACATGTTGGTGCAATCTAAGAAGGATATGAAGGAAAAGCGAAATATAAGTATGGACTGAAAGAAAAATAAAACATTCACCATACAATACACCAACAAAGCTGAAGAAGACGAAAGGTAGAAAGCCACAGACAACCAGGTTTCTGAAAATGGAAGTGGGTGGGTGCCAAGCGACGGTGGGTGTTGGATATAACGGATATAACATACTTGAGCTTAACGTACTCGCAGTCTCTTGGCCGGTAGTGTTCTATGAGCACGACGATGGCCTGCTAATCCACGGCTGCCGGCTGATTCACAGGCCGAATTCATCACAACGCCATGTAGCCATATCACCATGACCTGTGACACTTATGACTTCTTTGAGTACCGTGTGCTTTTGTTCTCGGGCGAACAACAAAGGTTCATTGAAGCTACAGACACCCTTCTGGACCATATTTCTCCAGACCGTCCAACGCTAAGTGCATTTGTGATCTAATATCAGTGTTACGACGCGGAGGGTATATTTGAATACCATTCTGGTCCGTCAGTTTTGACTACTAGGATTTCACTTACCTGATTTAATCTGGCCGTACATCAGATGCATTGGAATCCCATCATCATCGTCCATCCGACGGACGTGACCTAATCAACGAAACTGATTGGGCATCAGCATAGTTTCTATCTCATCCACATCCGCTCGCCGAAGTACCTCAGTGTTCGGAACCATG